TTAAAATGATAAGGCAGGGGGATTGCTGCAAATTGGAGGCCAAACCTGGTTACATAGTGAATTCTAGACCAGAATAGGTTACAAGGTGAGACTCTATCTCAAAAACATAGCAATCAATCAATCAATCAATCCATCAAAGAAACAAAAGGCAAACACATTTAATTGGTCTGAAACTGGATCCCAGTATCAGCATTTATCACAGAACAAGCCACCCCCACCTTCCCTGAAACACTGCAGTCTGTGGCTAGGATGATGCTCTCGCCTGAGAAGCTTTGCTGGAAATGTAGACAAATATATTCATCTATGGCTCTTGATTGGCAGGTAATAGAGTGTGGGCTATTCGTGAGCAGAGTGTACAGGCAGGATTCCCCACGGACATCTACAGCTACTTTGGCTTCCCTAGCAGCGTGACACACATTGATGCTGCTGTCTGTGAGGAAGAGACTGGAAAAACATACTTCTTTGTTGATGACAAGTACTGGAGGTAAAGACTGAAATCCAAATAATTTTAGGGTGCCAGTTGTCTGTACATAGAAAGATCTTAAAATGAGTTTCAGATGGACTTGGTTAACTGCCTTTTTGTGGATGACGTAACCACTGAACAACCATAGCCTGGTATTACATGGTGCTGCTTATACAGGGAATCCAGGGAGCCTGTGGCGCTCTTCTGTGCTGAGAAAGATAGGACAGTAAGGGCATCCAACTTCTCAAGCTACTTTGACCTAAACTTAACCATTCACATAGCATTTTACCTTGGGGAGAGTATCTGTGGAGTCATTGGATTTCAGAAGACCTTATGCATATTTTGACACACCCTACATTCAACTTTTTCTCCCTCACCCAATCACTCTTTTCTAATCTCAAGAATTAAAAATTTGTATGCAATTCATGCTGGTGTGTTTTCCACAAATATTTCAAGCAATCTGCATGTGTTTTCAAAGGTCCTAATACTTCTACCCACTTTCTGATCAGGTACGATGAAAATAATAAGACCATGGATTCAGGTTATCCCAAATTAATAGCAGACGACTTCCCTAGAGTTGGCAATAAAGTTGATGCTGTTTTCCAGAAAAACGGTAAGAGTATAGACATATTTTCTCTATTTGTTATAATACCAAAAGTAACAGCATTGCTATTTAATGTAAATATAAAAACATAAATGAAAATTAAAATACAAATGTAAAACTATATATACTGAAGTCATGCAAAATTGAGTCAAAAGCTGGAAACTCCATGTATAATATAACGAATATATTTCATTTTATTTTTAGGATATTTTTATTTCTTTCACCAGTCAACTCAATACAGATTTAACCTCCAAACGAGAATGGTTGATGCTGTCCGTGATTCTAACTCCTGGTTCAACTGCTAAGAACATGGCAACCTGTCCTGTCACCAAGTTAATGAAAATATATACCGCATAATTTTAAAGGAGATAGTTTTCTGAAGAGCCAAGTATTTTTATATTTTATTTACCTTCTAGCATTGTTGATACACAGAGCTACTAAGTAAAAATTTATTTATATTTCATCTTGTATATTTTTATAATTTCTAGCATAATAATTTATGAATTGAAACAGTTTGGTGTCACAATTGACAACCCAAGAAGGCCAAGTTCATGGTGGATAATTCACTGAAGGAGGCCATTTGTGCTCTCTGATGTTGATCCTTGGTCTCTTCTTTCAAGAGTGGAGGGTGGGCAGACAAACCCTCCCCAGAGAAAAAATGCCTTTTGAACACACAAGAAAAATGAACGGGTGCTTCGGGTTTGGTTTTTAAAACAGTGCTGACAGTCCATGCTGGTGTTGCACCTCTTCTACTGCTGGCTCCCAAATGCTGGGATACAGGCACGCCCAACATGCCCAGCCAAGAGATGGTCCATGTGCAAAATAAAGATTTGATACTTAGACTGAAGCCACTTCTGTATCTAACACTTTATCATTTCTTTACGATGCTTTCCATTTTATTTTGCTGCTATGAGCTGACAGCAAAGCCTCACTTAGAAATGTTATTTCTTTCAAATTTGAAATGGAAAACAAACTGTTAGGAGTATTTCTTAAGACAAGCCTCTCCATTGATGCAAATAATTACAATCAGAACAAATTAAACCGAATAAAAGATGCCCACATTTAATGCAACACTCCCAGGTGGTCCAGGAAAGCATGGTGAGGGAAAGAGAACAGGGGAGAACACGGAAAACCTGGAGACCACATGTTTCTTTTCTGGGCGGCAGCCTCAATAGCCTGTGGGAGTGGTTCTGACCCTCCCTGGGGAGAGGCCACTGCTTGACAAGCTTTTCTGGATGCGGAGTCCGGACCAAGGGGCTTGAAGCAGAGCTTCTTGCTCCATTCATGTTCCATTGGTGCTCCAAGGATGGGTGCCAGGGGCTTGGGTGATGCTTTCACCCAAACATCCCAGACTTCTTGGATATAGGGGTGTCAGGGGACTGGGGTCACACTTTTGACCAAACACAAACAATACATAAAATATTCATGAGAAGTTAGTATATCCCAAATTTTCAAATTTCTCCATTCGTTTGGAGATGAATCTCTAGCAGGATACACTTCATAATCATGTCCTAGTCCGTATTATTTATCATCAAGCACGAAGGCAGAGGGCTCAGCACGGGTCTTAAACACTGGGCTATGATGTGTGTGGCAAGGCTACAAGGCTGGATAAGAAAGAAGATACTGAAGTGGGTACCTATAACTTGATACTTTGTATTTCAGAAAGGAACCCAGGAACTTTTCCAGGGTGCTGCTTGCCTGGCACCCCACATTGTGCACACAATGGTACATGATAGAAAGATCAAAACTTCCGTCTCACAGTGTGGAGTCAGCCGCCACAGGGAGACTGGGACAGCCGCGGGACTGATTGGATGTCAGACTCTGGACCTTAGGAAAGCCCACTGGGCCCTTTTCCCTAAGACTATAAGATATATATGAGTGTGGGTGCAGACAGTCAGTGTTCTGTTGCTGAGAAGAGACACCATGCCCACTTCAGCTCTTATAAAGGATATCAAGGCTTACTTTGAGGTTAAGCTCATTAAACCTCTCAGGGTCCAGAAAGATTCACTATGGCAGACGAAAACTGGCTCATTGGATCTAAGGGTAAAATGAAGTAAATCAACTCATTTACATTACCGCTACAGGTGCTTTATTCCTTGAAACATGGGGCATAAGGTATAAGATTTAGGGCAAAGCATAAGGGTAAGAAAGGGGGTAGTCTCCACAAAGCCTTCAGTCTGTATAGGCACACAGGCAAGCTAGCAGTCCCAAAGGCAGTAACAATGGTATCAGCATGCATTTTCAGAGTCACAGTGTGGATCTGCTACCTTGTGTCTCAGAGTGGGTGTGACTGAAGTTCCCCTGTGGCTGGCAACACAGCCTTGGCAGCTGTGCTAACCTCTGGGCTTAATTTGTATTAGCATCTAGCTGGTTGAGTTAAAAGGAATCTCTTCTGGGGTTTTTGCTTTTGACTCCATCAGTCTGCGCAGGTGAGAATTTTTCTCTTTGAAGCTAGTTTTAATGACTCAGGCCTCTTTCCCGTATAAACAACTATTTTCCTGGGCTATGATACTATGTTAGTTGAAACCAAGGTGAAGGATAATACAGAATATTAGTAGTCTGCTAAGTCAAAGCACAAGACCAGTAGATTACACCTTCCTGGGTCTGCTGTTAGATTAGACAACCACCTCCTATTCGGGGCTCCTTTCTTATCAGTGATTACGGTCAATAAAGTTGTGGGGGTGTAGATTTTGGCTGTGAGAACAGAGATTTGACTGAGTGAATGCAGGGCTTCATGGTATGGGGCGGTACCAGGTTGCCGAACAGTGAAAGTCAGGTTCATACACTGATGGGATACTGTAGAAGAGAAAAAATGCCATGATTTCAAGATTTTTTACAGAACTGACAGTGACTTATCCAAAGGACAGATGTTCTTCCCTTAGCTCTGTGAAAACATGTTACTCCATGTGGACATGGACATAGACATATACACTCCCTATGAATAAGCCCAATAGCTCGGTCAGCTGCCCATTTCCTGCATAATACTGTGGGGTCACCACAAAAGGAAAACCTTTAATTGGAGCTGGCTTCCACCTTCAGAAATTTAGTCCATTATTATCCTGGCGGGACATGGCAGCGTGCAGGCAGATGGTGCTGGTGAAGGAGCTGAGAGTCCTCCACCTTAATCTGCAGGCAGCAGAAGGAAACTGTGTCATATTGCCCAGGCTTGAGCTTATAAGACCTCAGAGCCTGGCTCCACTGTGAAACACTTCCTCCAACAAAGCCAGGCTCCTAAAAGTGCCGCTCCCTATGGGTCAAGCACTCATACACTGGGCTATGTATGGGGGCCATTCCTATTCAAACCACCACAGAGAGAAACCTCAGCTTTTATTCCTCATGTGGCATCCACCTTTCTTTTTGCTTGCTTGCTTTCTTTCTTTCTTTCTTTCTTTCTTTCTTTCTTTCTTTCCTCCCCACCCCTTTCTTTCTTGAGACAGCATCTCTCAATGGCCTGGAACTCACTGGACTGTCTGAGCAGGCTGGCGGTTGAAGCCCCGAGATTCCCCACCTCTCCCTGTGCTGGAAGTCCAACCACACCACCTTCTATTTTTACATTGCAACTGAAATTTGCAACCCCCACATTTCTCTTTTGATCAACATGTAAGCTGGGGTTAGCTAGCCGTCCTTGAGTTCATTCCTCCATTTTTATGATTCTAATCTCAATCTTCTTCGGTTGTTATGCCAATTAAAAATAGCACATACTTAAAATCTCATATATAGAAGCTCTGTTCTAGGAATTGAGTTTTTCCTTAATTAACGGCATATGCCTGCTTGCTTTACTGTAAAAAAATATTCAGTAAATTTGATAGATAATAGTGTACTTAACAAAGAGGACTCCATAGCCCCAAGCCAATCTCCTCCAGGTGTGTGGCTTAGAGTAAGTTTATTCATCCAAATCAGTCCTAGAAGTCATGTCCTTGCACGGTTAGTCAACTAGTCACAGCCATAGCTCTTGGGCACACAGGAACCATAGCAGGGTGTGCCAACTCTAACAAAGGCATGACTCAAAGGAGCACAGGGCATCTCAGAACTTGTCAAGTCAGGCATCTGCCCAGCCAACAAGCTCTTTCTGTGAAAGACACAAGAACAAAATGTAATAGGGCTTCTCCAGCACTGAGTTCACATAAAAACTCATCCCTTGAGTGATGTTATCCATTTCACAGGAAAAGGGATCATGTGGTATGTGATGTACTTGCTCGAGTGTAGCTGACTTTGTCGCATCTGCTAGTGGCCAGCTTCTCTGCTCCTGATTTTCAGATTGGTATATTCTCTGTGCAGTAGCTATGCTAAGTCACAATTGACAAGTTGGCCCAGGGCAAGCGCCCCTCCCCCAAGATGTGCTTCAGTCTCCATTGCCATGGCGCCCTCTGGTAGGGAGGTAGATGGTACTAAAAAAGTCACTCCTATATTTACTTGCTTCTTCCACTAATTTAAAGTTTCATACTTCAGATACGGCAGCATTATTTTCCTTTCACTGGCAGAAAAATGTACTTTAGACATTTGGCACCCTCTGACGTCTATATTAAGACTTGTGGGGCTGGAGAGACGACCCTGCAGGTGAGAGGACTTGCTGCTCCTCCTGAGAACCTGCTCAAGTCCCTAGATGGCAGCCCACACCACCTCTAACTCCACTCCAGGGAATCTGACTTCCACTTCCAGCTTCTGAGGGCCCCTGAACACATGTGGTGTATACATATAAATAAAAGTAAATACAGACTTTCTCTGTTTGAAGAGCACTCAGGTTGGCCAAAGGAGGAAAGGAAAACACTTTTAATGGGTAATGTTATGTGAAGAGAAAGGACTGGAAATTCCATTGTAAACCTTAGTCATTTGTGCTTTAGAAGAAGGGAAAGGATAAAAACGGAAAAGCAAAGCTAAGGAAGGAGATAGGGGTATCATCTTCATCCAATATGCAATTCGCTGACTTCCATTTGACAAGTTCATGGAGCCAGTGCATGTGACATCATCATGAAACAACCGAGACTGATGACATCACCATGAAACAGACGCCGGGTGGGCACCTGGGCTTCACTTCTGGACCTTGTCCCCTCCATGTTGGCTGCCTTCTCACAGTGCACCCCACTCCCTCCCAAAGGCCAGTAAATCCATCTGGAAATCAGTAACACTTGTACACGCAAGAGCTCAAAAAATGGAGTTTTTGTCATTATATCTTCCTAGATAGCCATCATCATTGCTGCATTTGGAATCTTCTTCCGCTAATCTATTTATTTCTTGCCTGCATGTATTTGAGCTTAATGCGTGTTGCTAAACACAAAAACAAAAAAACCCACTGCTTTTAAAATATCTAAATATTGTATAAACATTAACTCTCTAGTCAGTTCCTTTTCCTCTTCACAAACACAGAAGCCACTTCCTGGAGAGTAAGCATTCTTTCCAGTGTAGTAGGGCGAGGGATTCACTGATGTAAGCCATTCCGTCTTCGTTTTGAGCTTCTATGAAAGA